TAAATTTTTAAAAATACATGTCCTCCCCCATACACACGAAGTAGTATTTGCATGCTAAAATGTGAAGCTCTCTGCTCTAAGCTTTGGGTAGGGCACCAAACCAACAGCTGACAATTAAAAGACCCCTGTTGGTATTATAGGGAAGCCTGACATAACACCACTCAGTTACTAAGTCCTAGTCTCTTAGAGTTGGAAAATCTTTGAAGGCCTTGTCTTGCAACCTCCCGAACAACACAGCAGTCCTGTCTACCTACCCTCAAGGAGGCAGTGGATGACAATGGTCAGCATGCAAGCCCTGGAGCCAGGCCTTCTTGAGGTTGAATCCTATCACTGCCACTTATTAGTTGTTGACCTTACCCATGCTTTTAAACCTCTCTGGGCCTCTGTTTCCTACCTGAATATAAAATAGCAGTAATCATAGTTCCCATCTCAAAGTGTTGGTATCAAAATAAAACGACATTGAACAAATGCCCAGCAAATGTTAATTATTATCACTGTACTATGCTTAAGTGCTTCCAGTGAAAGGGATCTTACTATTTCCCCAAAACAACCCACAACATTGTTTTTAATGAATAAATTTGCAGTTAAAAATTTCCAAAAATGTATAGCCCCAACGGAACACAGAACTACATAACCAAAGGTTGGCTGCCGGGGGCACCTCAATTACTTTCTCCATTGACTCTGATAGGTTTGGACCAAAAAACAAAATACAGAAAGCAAGGGAAAAGAAAATAGCACTGGCCTGCCTGCTCACTATTGTTTGGTCAGAGGCTTCCTTAAGTTTGCAATGAAAGACGAAACAAAAAACACTTTCTAAATAGTTTCCTTGTGTACCGACTTCTAGTCCTACCATAAATGATCTTTTTTTCCCAAAGCACTATAAGAATCCTCATTCTCAAGAAATATGAAATACCTTTTAAAAGTGCTCAAGGTGCACTTGATTTGGCAAAGAACTTTTAACTGTATTTAATTTTATTGTGTTTTGTGACCATTAAAAAGAACATGAAAAGTATTCACTTATGACAGAGCAGACTGGGACAACTCTGTTAATGGAAGCACGAAAACACCAAAGATTCTATGCTAGGTAGTTGGAACCATTCTAAGAACATGTAATGCTAAGAGCTATTTCTGCTTTGAAGTCTTGGTCTTTAGAACTTTAAATTGTTGTTAAATGAGCCAAAGTATAGCAACCAATGTGAAACACCCTGTCCTACACACTTGGTTCAGAAAAACCTGGAATGTAGCAAGCACTAAGCATCAATCCTGGGATTATATCCACCCACCACCCAACATATTATCAAGTATCTCTTCCATGGCCCAGCTACTCTAACAAATAAATACTGTTTTTAAAATTTACCTGAGATTCTAGAATGGTAAATCTGCTAAAATATATGTATGCAAGGTGTATTTACAATGCACTTCAGATGAAAAACAATCCGTTTTTGCAAGTAGCCATTCTGTATTATCTGAACTACTCCCTTTCATTAGACTGACAGAGATTCGCAGCACTCAGGTAAGTGCACCTGAGTGTTATTAGCACTAGCCATATTAAGACTGATGAGCCATTTTGACTATGTAGGAGTTTACAAACTTGTTTCTAACTAGTTTACATGAAAAAGATGTCCATACTGCCTCCATAAGTATCTGAGCTTCAATATTTCTTCTAAGGTTATTTCTTTTAAACGTATCCCAAACCCAATTCATTATTACATTCATTCTCTCTAGTGGTACATACTGGGGGTAATGTCAAAAAGAAATGAGAAAAAGTCTTCATTTACTTCAATACCTATTACAACAAATCCAACAAATATTATTTTGGTTTAAAGAAAGGGTGGGTTCCTGATTATGGGGTTGTTTACACAAATTCTACATCGCCTTCTACACCAAAGGGGGCAAAAAGGCCAATTTTCTGGTAAAAAAATGTTTTAATAGAATGATTTTTTTAAAGTGGGGGTTGTAGACAAGGACAGTTAGCAAGTCCCAGACAACTGGTCACTACTTCCAACCACTAACACCGAAGAACAGTTATCAAAAGAACTTACATATAGTGAAAGTGGTTTTAGTAGGATTTGATTCTCTTAAGTACATGTAAAGATTCATTTGGAGCCATCAACCAATCTAAAAAATCAATCCCGGAAAAATATGCAAATGCCTTGCCAAATAGAATAATAAAAAGAATACACTCCTGCTAGCATATCCTAATTTCCCTAATACTCGCTGAGCACCAATTACATACCAGAGTCAGAACTCCTGAGTATCAAGAATTGGGACTAAATTTTTAATTTCTTAATTCATTTTTTCATCTCTCAACACCTGCTCACAGTAGGCCTTGATAAATGTTGTTGAATTTGACTGCTTATTTGTAGAGCTTTGTACATTTTACTTTCATGACTTTCTAAGGTCGAGTGACTAACTACATACTTCTCTGACTCAAATCAGAGCTGATATTCTGTTAACTGAACCGCCACTACAAGCTAGGCACCCAGGCCACATTATGATGAGGGGTGAATGTGGAAACACAAGGCAGAAGTGATAAGAAGGGCTGCCATCAGGGAGGGAAGAAAGGGAGATGACTTAACAAAACAACCAACAGAGCTTTGCAGCTAACTGCATACTGCAAACAGAAGCAGAAAAGAGTTTAACTTCAATTCCCAAACTTCAGGTGAAAATTTAGGTTTTCACTTAGTTTCTTGCAATATTTACTAACTTGTTTTTTAAACACAGGATCCTTGCCTCTCCTCTAGCCCCAGAGAACATAATTCACAAACTGCAAGCTCTGCAGGGCAGGGATCATGTCATAGTTGTTTCTGTATTCCAAACACCCAGATCAATGTACATGGCGTTTATAAATGTTTGTTGAATGAATAATTTGCACCATTCATCTCCTTATCTTTTCTTTCTCCAGTTTTTCCCTTTATCTCGCTGTTTTTGTGTGCATGTCTATATGTTTGTTCCTATAATCAGGACCCACCTTTCACTGCTCCTCTCCCCTCTTCTCCCCTTATAACCATCCCTTCCATTAACCATAACAGAACTAAAATATACTTTTGTTTCATTTATTGAGTTGGAATTGATGGTCTCTGTTCCTAAGTTCATTTAGGTAGACCATTTTAAATCTCCCTTAAAATTGTTTTTTATTATGTGACCCTCAATTTACTATCTTTAAAGTTGACTCTGAAAATAAAAACAGACAGCCACTCTTGTTCTAAAAGGAAAAGTAAGGTGTCTAACAGATTTTGTGTTGGGGGAGGACTTGAACCTTGAAAAATGATGAAATGGGAAAAAAGTTTAAGCACTAATCAGAAAAAGAAAACTACAAAAAATTTAAAGCTCCCTAATTTTAATCAGATAATCTAAAAAGGTTATTGGGCTGGGGGGAGTGAAAGTTGAAAATCTCAGCATGTACCTTTTTATTCCATTATCAAAGAAAATCTACAATGCAGTTGAAAATGTTACATGAACATCTTTCAACATTAAATACCTTATCTTAAAGTCACTTATTTCTACCTATTTTTTAAATGTTTAAATTTTGTGAAACATATTTGTAATCAGAAGAAAAAGGACCCTTTTTCCATTCAAGTACTTGATTGTGTGCTTTTTACAATCACTGAAGGGAAAGGACCTTTTCAATCTCCTAGTTGTAAAGCAGCAACCAACTTCCTTTCAACTTCTCTTTCACTTCCCAAATAACACCACAACCCCCAAAATCACTCAGCAGAACAAAATCCAACAATATAAGGCAATGAAAAAGATATCTCTTCCTCTCATAGTATATTTCAAGTGTTCTTTACCCTGTGAAATTGTATCATGGTCCCTACACATATAATATGTCATTTCTGATAATAAATTAATAGTAAAATTCACTTAAAATTAACAATTTGGATACCAATCCTCAATTTTGCATAAAATGTAATTTTTGTCAACAGAAGCCAACCAAAAGCCAACAAAAGCAATATTAAATACGGAATATTGCAGATCCATAAACTTGTAAATGTCTTTGAATTGTTACTCAAGGAGCCCACATCTCTTACTAATAGGAGGAAATGATTATAATAAGCTTGTAAGCAAAACTGCGCACTGAGGAGTAAGAACCATCCTCCCAATTCAAAACAGCTCTGCGGGTGTCGCAAGAGAATCTCATTGCATTCAGGAAAAAGATTCACAGGGCGAGGAAGCCCCCGGGCAGCCGAGGTCCAAAGCCAATGGGCAGTTGGGCTTAGACGCAGAAACGCCACACGAAGCCATTCTCCCACCTGACGAGATCTGAGAGCAGCCCCCGCTCCCCTACAAAAGCCAGTTCTGGCCAGAAAGGCTGGCAAAGGCACCCAACAGCAGCAGAGCGTACACAGTTCCAGGTATAGTGAAAAGGTAGAAAGGCCCAGGTTCTGCGAAAATAACAAATATTTTTAGTGTGAGTGCACACTGTGCACAGCCTCCTCGGGCAGAGAAGACCAACAAAGATGCATAAACCAACTAGGCAACAGCACAGCGCGCACCCACACCTCTCTCGCCCGTCGCCAGAGAGGAAGCGCCGAAGAGCGCGCCGAGGTCCAGGCTGCGGTGGGAGACGGGTCCACACCAACCCAAGCGAGCTGCAGAGGATTCAGCTCCGCTACAGAGCAAAGGCACAGGGGGCTCACTCCCGAAGGGTGGGAATGCACTGATGCACCCTGGCCCGTCTGCTGCAGGGGCGCGCGGGACCGGACGCGGGACGGGGGCACCCGGACGGTGAGCCCCGCCGCGCACACCCCTCACCTGGCAGAAGCACCGTTGCGCTGCTGTCTCCGGGGGCTGCTGCCCGCTGTGGCCCGAGCCGAGCAGCCACACGGAGCCCAGAAGGCCGATCAGAAAGCCCCAGCAGCGGCCCATAGCCGCCCCGTCCGCTAGTCGCCCTGCACCTCGGGAGTCCCCAGCACTTGGGCGCAGGCCGCGCGTCCGCAGATGAAGCCCGCGCGCGCCGGCCCCCGGCGGCGCCCCGCCTCCCAGGCCCGCCCTCCGCTCTCCCGCTCTCCGCAACCTCCACCTCCCGACGGAGCCTGCGGACGTGCCACGGCGCCCGCGCCGGCCGCCCGGGGCCTCGGGCAGCTTCCTTCCCGGCGCGTGAGGCTGACGCACTGCCCGCTTCCCGGTTCCGCCCCGCCCCTCCCGGCGCGGCGCGCCCGTCCCCGGCCTGGAGACGCGACCCCACGCGGCCGCCCCCCGCCCCTGCGAGGGAGTCGGGGTCCTCCCAGCTCCCAGAGCTGAAACGAAAGCCCGAGAGGTCTGTGTTTTCCTGCAGGGCCTGGCCCCGCCACCGCCCCACACCACGCATTCCGGGCCGGTCCTTCCGCATCTCAGTGCAAGGAAATGAAACCGTAAGAATTACGTGTCCACCGTGTCGTTAGCAGCCTTAAAGCTGAAAGGGGTATTAGTAATGATCTCGACAGGTCAACATATGTATTTTAGATTTTCTAGTATTCACATCAAAAAAGCAAACAGAAACTGAAGTTAATTTTAATAATATGGTTCTTTAACCCCATATGTGCAAAATATTTCAGAATATACTCGAAATTAAGTTACAAATTTTTTTCCTTTTTTTAATCTTTAAAATCTGGTGTATATTTTATATGAGCTAGTCACATTTCATAGTCAAAAATAGCAAGTGGCTGCTGCATCTGACGGCACAGGTGGAGACTACCCTCTCATTTTATGGGAGAAAACAGACGCCAAAAAGTGAGATGGGAGCATAGGAAAAAAGCCAGGTAGTCAGAGTCCCAGCCATGGGACTCATTTATCAGTTTTTTTGTTTTTATTTTCAAGTGAAACTAGAAAGCTTTCTAACATCTTAGAAATTAAAATATTCCAAATTACCTGGGGTTTTTTGTTAAGTTTTTTTTTTAAACCATCATTTAATGAAGTAGCTTAGGATATGGTAGGCCCCAAATAGGTTATTACTCCTATTTTCTAGCTGAGAAAAATAGGCATAGGAAGAATAAAATGTTATTCAAAACCGCATGGTATGGTAGAGGTGAGACTCCAACTCAGGTATTTCTTATTTTAAAGCTCATAGTCTATGCTCTGTCGAGCATTTGCAAGCAACTGACATAATAAAAACATCACTAACCATCCGAGATCCTGGTGGACCTGAGAAGCTTTGATTCTAATATCTAAAACGTGTATTTTACATATTGTACATATTAACACAATCACCCTCTTTACCTGGAAAGTTCTTCATTATATAGATGCTACTTACCTCTTTAGGGCCAGACCCAGGTCACTCACTCCCTTTTCTATGTGGTCTTCTGATTTTCCTCTTCACCCAGTTCCAGGCTCTGAATAAGCTTCAATTCAATAAACTCACTCTATACCAGACTGAGCATGACATTAGAAATAGAAAGATGTATAAGGTCCACTCACTGCGTGTGGAGGGACATCCCATGGAAGTTCATATGTAATCTTTTACGAAATTTTCTACTCATGTTTTTACCACTGAAGTGTAATTAATCTGTTTAAACTCCTCAAGCAGGAATCATGTCTCAAATATGTCTGTGACTCCCAGAGATCTTAACAAAGAGCTTCTCTTTGCACATGTCTATAAAATGAATATTTTTCAGATGGTCACAGTATTCATATCTGAAGATTAGGCCATCAAAAATTTGAGACACAATCTGAAAAGAGGAAACTACATGAATAAAGCCTAAAATTGCAAAAGAAAGCAATCTGAACATGAATCAGCTCTGGATTTCACCTTGATACAATAGACTATAATTTGGGAGACCTTAAAAGTGTCAGTGTTCCCAGGAGGAAAGTTCTATTCCATAAAACTTATGCCTAGAACAAATTTCTAGCAAACTTATGAACAGAAACAATCACCACATAAGACAATTTTTTTTTTACTTAATTATTTTTTTTTTGGTTTTATTGAGATATAATTGGCAAAAACGTAAAATATTTAATATGTACATTGTGGTGATTTGAATATACATGGAAAACTATTCCTCCCATTGAGTGAATTACACATCCATCATCATCTCACATATTTACCCTTTTCTCTCTCAATGAGAATGTTTACATTCAACTCTCTTAGCAAATTTCAGTTATACACTACCGTGTTATCAACCACAGTCAGCATGTTTACATTATATCCTCAGACCTTATCATCTTATAATTGAAAGTCTATATTCTTTTACCAACCTCACCCTATTTCCTCTTCACCCCAGTCCCTGGCAATCACTTTTCTATTCTGTTTCTATGATTTTGACTTTTTTTTCTTTTACTCTACATGTAAGTGATACCATGCAGTATTTGTATTCCTCTGTCTGGCTTATTTCATTTAGCATAATGCCCTCACAACCCATGCATGTTGTAGCAAAAGGCAGAATTTCCTTCTTCTTCATGGCTGAACAATAATAGTCCATTATATATGTATACCACCCCCTTTATCCATTTATTCATTGACAGACACTTAGGTTATTTCCATACTTAGGCAATTGTGAGTAATACTGCAGTGAACATGTACAGATATCTCTTCAATATAATGGTTTCATTTTCTTCGGATATATACCCAGAAGTGAGATTGCTGGATCTTACTTTATTGTCTTGATAATTACAATTTTTCCTTTCAAACTTGTAAGGGATTTTAGAAGTTGTAAAATACATGTGATGTAAATATCACTGACATTTCTCTAAGAATCTTTCAAGTTGGTCCTTTATGTGAGTTTACTTCCTCAACTCTTCCTGCTCTGGCAATCATCTCAAGTAGGTTAGGGCTGATGAAATAGTGACTAGTCATTCAGTAACTATTTAAGGAACACCCACAGGGTATATAGTTCAACCTTTGATTTCTGAAAGTTCAGCCTCCCATCTATCATAACTTTGCTAAACAACATTACATTTTTTACAGATGAACAAGGTTACAACCTTGTTATTCTAATACTAGTGGCTATAAAAACAACCTGACAAATTTAACATACACAGCATTTCTTGGTGGAATTCTTATTACTGTGCAAACAACAGCTATTACTATATTTTTAATGACCAAAGCAGGAAATGGCTTAAGCCCAGTTTCTCAAAATGGAACATGGAGATTTCTGTGAGAAGCTTCTCAGTACCTAAACTGGCATTGAATAGACTAAAAAGAAATAATTTAAAGGAAAAAATAATTTGGTCAAGGAATGGGCATTATGACACACAAGAGGAAGAAAGGCTAAGCTAAAAACCTAAAGGTTTTATGCTAATATCTGACTAACTCTATTTATCTAATTAATACTCATTGAACATAAATGTGCAAATGGTACCTTGCTAGACTTTTCTCTCAAGGTGTGTAAGATCATTTGAGCTGAGGAGGAATGCCGCCTAAGCTCTGTCTTCACCTTCTTTACCTCATGTGGCTGAAAGAGCAAACTTCATATAGTAACTGATGTCACTTCTTAATTTTCCATTTACACCTTAACCCACTGTGCCTTCTGGTTTCCAATTCCACCCTCCTCCTCCCCTCCTCTTTACCTGACGTTCTTGTTGCCACATCCAATTATCATTTTTCATGAACCTTCTGCTACATTTTGGTAATGCTGATTCCTCCATCTTTCAACTCAATTTCCTATGCACCAAACACTCCAAATTCTCATATACTTCTCTCATAGTGTCTATCTCCTCCATGCCCACTTCTAAGATGTGAGTGTTTCACAGGAGTCTATCCTTTGGTCAGTGCTCTTCATCACCTATACTCTCCCTTGGAGAAATGCCCAATCTCATGATTTTAAGTACCTCCTCTATGCTTATGACTCCCAAATCTGTTCTTCTAGTTCAGATCTCTCCCTTGAGCATCAAGATCCAACTGCTTATTGGACATGTCCACCTGGTTTTCTCAGAAACATTTGGTCATACCACCTAGAAAACAGGAAGCCATCCTCAGTTTCTCCCTCTTTTCAGTTCTCATGACCTACTGATAAACCAAATCCTGCCAGTTCTTGTCTTTAGTTTACTCCCCCTCCCCATATCTATGACCAGGGACTTATTTTCAACCCGTATCATCACTCATGTGATTTATTGCCACATTTTCTTAACTGATCACCCAGGCACTAGGCTTCTACCCCTCAAAAAAGCCTCCAGACTAGCCCAACTTCTCAAAATGTAAATCTGACCACATCACACCTGTTGAAAATCTTCCAATGCTCTCATTTGACGAATCAAATTTGAGATTTTCTGCATAACATTCAAGGTCCCTATGATCTGGCCCCACCTACTTCAGCTTCATCTCCAACACCTCTCAGCCTTGTTGTCAGTTTAATGCTAAAAATTCCTTATATAGACCTTGTTTCCAGTCTGCAAGTCTTTGTTCACCCTGTTTCCACTCCTGAAATGTTTTCTCTCCTGTTTCACACTTACCACCCTCACTTCACCTGGCTAACTCCCTTAAGATTCAGCTCAAGCAACTGCTACTTCTGTGAAGTCCTTCTCCCTACCCCCTCCTCTGTGGTTGCTTTAGGGCTCTCCTGTTTGGTCCCGCAAGTCATATAATTGTGCTTATGACATGGAATCAAATATATGCGTAAGTAAAGGTTTTTCCCATTCAATAAATGGGTAGGAAACTTGCCATGGTGGTTTCCAGCTTCCCAGCACTTAGCATTATGTATGTGCTTCATGAGATGACTTCTGAGTGAGTTAATGAAAGTACGAATAAATTAACTAATGAACTTGAGAAGATAATAGCATGAGATGTCAGAGGACAACATGTGGTTATGATTTAAATAAGCCCTATAGGCTCAGAGGCAAACAAACATTTTGGGTAGAGGAGATGAAGACAGAATAGAATTGGAGAGAGTTCACAAAAAAGAACATTCACAAAAGATACGGATGTGGGAAAACTGATGATAAAGTAGAGGCTCAATTACTAGTTGTTTCATTAAGAAAAAGAAAAGAAACATCTAAATTTCATTTAGGAAACATTTCAAGATCAGGATTATCTAGTTAAGAAACAAGAGTAGCTATAAACCCAGGGACTGTAGATTCAGCACAAGCCAGGGAAAGGGGGAGAGTTCTGAAATGAAAAAAAGTGGTTTAAGTGAATTCCCTCCATGCTGAATGTTAAACCTTCTCCCCCATAACTGGCAGATCACCTGTAACACGGCCCTGCAAAAACTACAGACCATATATAAACACCTGCTCTCCACTTAGCCCTCATGCATGATCCCCTCCTCTCCCATTCTAAGATGGGATTGGAGAACTCTTCCAGGAATAAGCAACGGCATTAAAAACAACAAAACAGCTGGTCTGTCCCACTCACACACTCAGAAATCTACTATCTTTTTATTTTAGTGCCTCACTCACTCTATGATCAGAAAACTGTGGTCCACCAGATTGCTAAGGAAAGTCTCCAACGTGAAATAGACCAAAACAAATAGGAAAAAAGGAATTTTGACAAAATAAAGAGGGAAGTAAGAGAACAAAACAGAAAACCATAATCAATATTGTCAAGGACATAAGAATAGGATTCTATATGAAGGAACAACTGGGAAAAGAGTTTTTGGAAACCACACATATGACAAAATAAGAAGTTTAAACAGAAAAATTAAACATTGAGGAAATCTCCTAGGTAGTAGAATAAAAAGACAGAGAGGTAGAAATACATGAGAAGAAATAGAAAAAAATAGAGGATTAATTTAAGGAGAACAAAGTCTGACTAATAAGAATACCACTAAGAAAAAATATAAAAACAGGAGAGGAAATCATTTTAGAAGTTGTTCAAGAATACAGCCAAAATTGAAGGATGGCTATCTAGATTGATAGGGCACATTGCATGCCCAGTTCAGTGGACAGAAGAATGCCCCTATCAGTGTAAAACTGTCAGAAAAACAAAAAACCTGGTCCCTTACAAAGAATTCAGAATCAGAAGGGAGCTATAAAAGCACTGGAATCTACAGGACAATGAAGCAAGGCCTTCAAAATTCTAAGAGAATTCTAAAGCCAGCTAAACTGTTAATCAAGGCTGAGACTAGAACTAAGATTTTGTTAGATATGAAGAAGACGGTACATCTTTAAATACTTTCTCAGAAATTTACTGAGAAGATATGATCTGACCAAAAGGAATAAACTAAAAATGAGGAGACCTAGATGTCAGGAAAGAGAAGACAGCACACAGAAGAGAAGTTAGAGAAGCTCTCAGAAGAGGCAACTGCCGCAGAGAGCCCAGGTTAGAGCAGGAAGACGGGAGGCCTCCAGGAGGGGTGCCTCTAGTAAACAGCAGGACTGGAGAGACACCTGGACTCTGGAGAAACTATTCAGAGGATATTTACAATAGTAGAGTTGTGAAGAAAAAGTGATTAAACAAAACACTAAGCACACTTAAAAAATGAGGCAGTTGTTTAATTCCCAGAAGTTCAAAATAGTTTTGATGTAACTATAGTATGTGGCTCAACTTACATAGCCCCACAATAAGACACATACTAGATAGTTATTTAACCAAAACGTATATATTGTATGTATGGAGGATGGAAGTAGGGAAATGGGGAAGCTAGGGTGATCTTTATTTTCCTTATGAGAAAGTCAAAATGTAAATCCTAAAATAGATCTATCAAGAAATAGCAGCATAATCTTACTACACTGATGGAGAATGACTGCAATAGGGTATGGGAGGGGCACTCAATAATAAGGGTGAATGTAATAACCACATTGTTCTTCTTGTAAAACCTTCATAAGAGTGTATATCAATGATACCTTAATAAAAAAAAAGGAATAGCAGCATAAGCATACTATTTGGAAACATGGAGGTAAATATAGAAGAAACTTTAAGAACTGGGGAATGGACTAAACAGTAGCTAGGGTGGGTCAGTGGACTCCTCTTTTCAGTTAAGACTGGAAGTACTTCAAAAAAAGAGACTATGTATAAGTTTGATTAAAGAAGAGTATTTCCCAGAAGCCTAGAAATTCTGACTTCTGTTCCTACCTTAACATCTTACTGCTTAGCCATAGACACATTCAATTAAGCACATTCTGTGGTATTTGGGGGTAGATATCTGGGATGACAAATTTCTAAAAACTTGAGTATGGTGGCTGATGTGTGAACAAAAGTACTTGCCACTTACCATTCTGTTCCTACCTTAACATCTTACTGCTTAGCCATAGACACATTCAATTAAGCACATTCTGTGGTATTTGGGGGTAGATATCTGGGATGACAAATTTCTAAAAACTTGAGTATGGTGGCTGATGTGTGAACAAAAGTACTTGCCACTTACCACTTGCCACTTACCTCTTGGTACTGCTTCCTGATTTCTCTCTAGAAAAATATCTGTTTCTGTCCTATTATCTACCACTGTGTAACAAATTACCACAAAACTTACTGACATAAACTAACAAACGTATATCATCTCATGATTTTTGTGGCCTGGCAATTCAGAAAGAGCTGAACTGGGTTGTGTCACTCAGTCTCTCATGATGTTGTGAATAAGACTAGAGCTTTAGGCATCTGAAGGCTGGCCTAAGGTCGGAGGCTCTGCTTCTAAGTTGTCTCACTCTCATGGATGGATGCTGGCAGGAGGCCTCAGTTCCTTGCCATGTGGGCCTCTCCATACATCTGCTGATGTATCCTCCTAGCATAATAGCTGGCTTGCCCCAGAGGGAGTGATCTAAGGAAAAATATGGAGGGAGCCCTAATGTCTTTTACCACCTGGTCTCCGCAGTTGTTTGTAGTCACTTTCATTTTATTCCACTGGTCCAGAGCAAGTTGCTAGATTCAGGGGAGAGGAATTAGGCTCAACTTCTTGACATGGGAAATATAAAATAATTTGTATATTTATTTTAAAACCACAACACCCATCAATGTTAAATTATAGGTAAGTAGATTAGAAGACTATCCTTAAATGATATTTTGAAGATCTAAATCTATCTCATCACTGTTTGTTATGCCATCACTTTTAAGGACCACACCCCCACCCAAACTAAGGTATGTCCTATCTTCTCACCTCTCTTCTTTTTTACTCTATGGTATGTTACGTTCCTTGAGTACTGGTGACATTTCTTAGTCTTTTTGTATCTCTGCTTACCTATCATAGTGTTTGACATATTCACATATTCATATATATGCCTAAAACCATTCTCTGGGAATACAATAATAAGCAGGAAATAGTCACAATCTTTGTTTCCTGGAGTGTATAGTCTATTGGGGGAAAAAGACACTAAACATTTTATCACACTTATGAATGTTTAATTACAAATCAAACTACATTTTCTTATGAAGAGGAATATAGTCCTATAGATGCATATAAAAAAGGAACAGGGTACAGGCATGGGAAAAAATAGAATAGGAGATTCATCTGAAGTTGGATTTTGCTAATGGGTGAGAGAAAAAAACAAGTGTCACAAGAGTTTAAAATATTGGTGTATTATGTAACACACTAGTAACTGCTCATAAATATTTATTTAGTTGAACCAAACTGAATTATCTTTTTTCTCTGCCTCTACATCTTTTCTTAACTTCTTGATGTCAGAAGCAGTATGTTTTTGAATGGGTGGACCAGAATAGTTGCAGCTGAGTGGGAGAAGGGACTATTCCTGCTCAGTCCATCTTCCTTATTCATTATCTACTGCAATTTCCAGTTATATTTAAAAAGACAATAATTAGATTTTTTTCCTAGTAACTTTGAAGACATTTTTTATGTGACTTTTGGTAATATAATTCATGTATATTTGCACTTTATATGTATATATGGGCTATGCCTCTTTAAATTCAGATGTGCAGGATTACTGGATAAGAGGAGTCTATTTGGGGAATTTGATTCTATTGAATAACAATAAATTCTCCCTAGGAGCAATGCTGGGAAGGCATAAGCAATAAGGACCTGTACAGCAAAAATTGAGGTCATTACTACCTTTAGATAAATAATTTAAAATAACACTATTAAGTGCTCCCTATACTCCATACATTGTGTTAATAGCTATAAGCACAGTCTTATTTAATAGTCATGACATCATATGAGATAGGTACAATTATTATGCTTATTTTATAAAGATTAATGTCAGCACAAAAATCTGAAAGACAGTTTATTAGACTTCAAGTTCCTGAGTCACTCTATTACATCATCTTTATTTTGTATCCTACATCTCTACAACCACCCTCTTCTGGCCTCATTGGTCTCTCTCACTGGCCTCCTTTCTATTCCTAGAAGTGAGCCAAGCTCTTTTCACTTCAGGATCTTTGCACTTGCTGTTTGCTCCGTTTGGAAAGTTCCTCTCCAGCTTGTTCCATTATCTCAAATATCCGTTCAAAATTAGTTCCCTTCACCGAGGCGTCTCTAGGGACGACCAGAATAACAGCGCCTCCTTTACTCAGTCCGACCTGCAGGGGTCGGTGTGGCCGGAGGCCTCCTTCACTACACGCCAGCACCCGAGGCCGACCGAGACAAAAAAAGTGGGTAAGTGGGGTAGGGAGGCGGGGCTAACCGGAAGGGGCGGGGCCTTCCGCTACCAAGCCCTTCCAGGGGGTGCTCTCCTCCTTCGCCCCGCCCCTCGCCCCGCCCGGGCGGCCATGGCCATTCCCAGCATCCCCTATGAGAGACGGCTTCTCATCATGGCGGACCCTAGAGATAAGGCGCTTCAGGACTACCGCAAGAAGCTGCTGGAGCACAAGGAGATCGACGGCCGTCTCAAGGAGTGTGAGTGCACTTTTCTTTCCACATAATCTTGTGCCTAGACCCGCTTCCATCTTTGACAAAGCGGAGGCCTTTGGCTGAGCCCGGCGTCCGAGCCCCGGGGATGGGAAGGCCTCGGTCCAGAGACGAGGCGCTTTGTCATCCTGCCCTGAGCTTGGGAAGCAGAGCCTCTTCGGACGTGGAAGTGGCCCGGCCCGCTCCAGGTGACAGAGAGAACTAAAGTCTAAAAAACTGTCTTTCAGATTGCTGTGCTGACTTTAATCTCAAAATCTTTGTAAAATGAGCGTTATAATTGTACTTACCATGTCATGACTATTAAATAAGGTAGTGTGCTTAGAGCTATTAATACAATGGCAGTTCTGAATTGTAAGTGGAAGAGCCCTAGAGGAGTGGGGAAAAAGTGGGCCAGGGATGTTTCCTAGGTTGGGGTGCAAGGGAGGGCAGTGTTAGTGGAGTCCCGGGACCCGGAGAGGGGAAGAGACTGGAGTCAAGGAAGCTCAAGCAAAAGGTGAGACTCGGGGAGCTGGCGTGTTATTGGAGTGGAAAGCTGGAGCCGAGCTTAGAGGAATCCATCGGATCATCAGGCACGCAAGTTTCCTTTACCTCCTGAGCTAAAAGAGCCCTTACAGTTTTTCATAGTGCACCTTCACTGAAAATCCTAAATGGCTCAATTAAATGAAGGAAGACCAACTATATACTTCTGTGGAGCACTGCACCTGTTGACCTTATTTAGGGTAGAAAGCCAGAGTAATAATCCATGTGGGTAGGTGAAGAGGTAAGGGAGGGTCTGTCTCTTATAATTGGGATTTGTGGTTACGAATCTGGAAGTCTCGGTGTCAGTTTCTGTTAAGAATGTAATAGAATGTTAAAAATGTCCTTAAAACAAGTGAGTGTTGCCAATCAAGAAAATAAAAAAAAGGTGCTTTCTCTAACATTTTTTTTAAAACATGTTACCTACAAACGGCATTATTTCCTTTGTGGTTTGATAGTGTATGTAAAGTGAATAGACTTAATAAGTAAAATGAGACTTAGTGACTTAAACTCAGTAAGTTATTGTTTATTTAAAAATGTTCAAATTATATTATTTCAGTAAGGGAACAGTTAAAAGAACTTACCAAACAATATGAAAAGTCTGAAAATGATCTGAAGGCCCTACAAAGTGTTGGGCAGGTAGGTAATGAAGTTTGGGAATAGGGGGTAATGGAAATTTGCTTTGTTTTTTAGTTGTTGACACAAAGTAATGCTTTTTTTTTCTTTCTTAGATTGTGGGTGAAGTACTTAAGCAATTAACTGAAGAAAAATGTAAGTGGATTAGATCGTTCATTAGTAAAGAAAAAAAGTGGACTCTCCTCCCTACCACCGCCAACTTTTGAAGTGCTTATTATTTTAATGACAGTATGAATGTAGATGATACTCTTGCATAGACTAAGTTTTCTTTGTACTGTCCGTCTTCTTGGAAGACAAGAATAAAACAATCTGCCATCAGTTTGGGTATATTTATCTTTTACTTTCTATGTTTCAATTTGTTCTTTCATTTTCTTCTTCTAGTCATTGTTAAAGCTACAAATGGACCAAGATATGTTGTGGGTTGTCGTCGACAGGTAACACTTTACATTTGCGTAGCACTTTATAGTTGACAAAAGCACTTTGATATGTTTTTTAATTCTTGGGTAAGCAGGTCCAGGATTATGCCCAAACTCCCAGAGGTGATTTGTTCAGATACAGGTAATTATTAGGAAAGCCTAAACTCAAACCATGGGCTTCGACTCCTGGTATTTTCTACTTTTGCTATATTGAATTATCTCAGTCAGCTTATACATCTTAGAAATCAAAGAATTTGATTTTTAGAACTAGAAAACATCTCAGATCATTTTATTTTAAGGTCTTTTTTGAAGAACACTTGAAAGTATTAGACTCTGTCAATTACCTCTATGTTTTGTATTTAAACATTCAGAAATGTGACTTACAGACTTCAGCTTAAGTTGATTTTGTATGAGGTATATTAGAATAGGCAAATTGAAATAACTACCAGTTTCATTTTGCATTTGTCAAAATGCCAGCATGTGCTTTGAATCATTTAGTAGACTCTGAAGCCATTTTATGTACTACCCTTTTGTTTAGGAAGTGTCCTTAGAGCAGTCTTATAAATTCATTGAGAGTACTTCCTCTGAATGTTGTTATATCTGGTTCAGGTTTTAAAACATTGGTACAACGTGGCTGTAGAATGGAATTTAACCCAGGAACTAAATCTGACATTAGGATTTTGCCTACTGTGTAAGTGGGATGACATTTTTCTAAATCAAAATATTAGATGCCTTATCTAAGGATTGTTATGCACCTTTCAGGGCCCTCTGCATTCCAAAAGTTGGCATTTCTAAGATACGGTTGTATGAGGCAAGAGAATATTTGAAAATATTAGAGTGTATATTCCCTGTAGATGTAAATGTTGGGACAGCTTCACATTGATCTCTGTTTAGCTTTTTTCAGGTACCTCACTAAATCCTAAATTTAGAGCTCTTTGCAAATTTCTGTGAAAAGTCAGTAATTTGTATGATTCTGAAATTGTATTGGTAGGTAGTTGTTTAGATGTGAAAAGTAACTTAATTTTTGGAAAGTAACATAATGAATGTGAGGTTCATCTGTTGGGTAGATTCTCTCTGATTCTAGCCAAATAAGTTACCCTGCCTAAATATGCCAGTAAATTTAATCTTATTCGATGTAATAAATAATGCATATAGCATAGTGTCTGGTATATAGCAAAGGCATGAATGATGGTTGCTACGGTTTTTGCTTTTTTAACAAAAATCTCGTAAGGGGAAACAGTGCATTTCCCCTTTACCTCATATGATCGTGTAACACATTCTTCCCCAAGGCTATAGGTTTTAAAATAAATCTAATGGCACACCTTCAAAATGATTCCCTTTTCCTTTCCCTAGAATGTTCACTTACAGATTTCTATATAAATGCTTTGGTACCAGTTGCCAAAGTCACTGTGCTGTAGTGCCTGAATCAAAACAATGAGCAAAACTCTGTTAGTGAGCCTTTGAAAATAGAATACTATAGTCTGTTCCTTTTTCAAAAACAAGGTCATTGCCACCTCAAACTTTGTGTATTAGTGATTTAACATTTCACACTGAGATTGCATAAAAGGGCACCCTTTTAAGGGGCAGATGGAAATAACTTTGAATTACTACTTTTATAAGCCCTTCTGTTGGCATAGTGTTTATAATCTATTATTAGAGTTCTTTCTGAAGGGAAAAAAATGATTACTCTAAATATTAGTTCTTGTTAGCACATTTTTTCCCTTTGTAAGTGTTTATGTAACACCTTTTTGTTTTAGCTTGACAAAAGTAAGCTGAAGCCAGGAACAAGAGTTGCTTTGGATATGACTACATTAACTATCATGAGGTAGGTTTCTTATTCTATTTAGTTTTCACAGACGGAAGATTGTATCCAAAATACATATTTCTGAATCTTATATGATTCAGATCACTGAATATATTGCCACTCTTTCCCTTTTACTAATTTCTGATTAATTTAAATGTGTTTTTATTAGTTCATCTACAGGTGCTTACATAAATGAGTCATTTACACGCTATCTGTAGACTGAGAGAAAATACACCTTTTAAAAGAAAAATATTTATACCTTGTCATTACAGATATTTGCCAAGAGAGGTGGATCCACTGGTTTACAACATGTCTCATGAAGACCCCGGGAATGTTTCATACTCTGAGATCGGAGGGCTATCAGAACAGATTCGGGAATTAAGAGAGGTTAGTAGTACATGCTTTGTTCCCTAAACTGAATAATAAATAGTACTGCCTTTAAGATGCCGAAAGGGAAAAAGTGGATGAAAATTACCTTTTCCAAATAGTGGTTACTGAATATTACACATTTAATGTTCTTGCTGAGAGAAGAATAGCACTGAATTTCTAGCTTTGGAAATTATAAGTATTTGTTAATGTGGTTTTGGAAAAATCCTGCTTCTTTTGTGGTAAAGAAGGGGCAAAATGCCAGGAATAATTGATATAATCCAATACCCTTTCCATCTATGGTTTTGTTATAGTAGGTTACTTGGGTCAGAGCACATTTGGATAGTATAGATGTAATGTAGTTTTTCTTATAACCTCATTAGTGTTAGCTTCCCACCCTTATAGTATAGTAAATTACCTGTCCCTTAAATATTTTGATAAAGCTGTTTGCTGACATTTAAGAAAAATTTTGGCTTTATGGTGGCTTAAACCATTTAAGCTTTTAGGTGAAGAGAATTACCTTGCTTCACAGCACAGATGGCTCCTTAACAATTCTCTTTAAAGCAAATTACATTGCCCTGTTGATTTCATCCTAATTTCGGAAGGAAGTATTTAGGAATGAGGGGGTATAGTTGGGATGGCTTACATCATCTGATTTAAGCCCTAAGCCAGTAGCTTTCAGATTTCACATTAATTTTTCTGGAACTCTTATTAAAGGTATAGATGCCAACATCCTCTTCATGTTTTTGATCAGTAGATTGGGGGTGGGACACAGGAATTAGATTTTAAACAAGCATTATAGGTGATTATGAAACCAAATTGTTTTTTGACCATACTTGAGGAAGCTCTGACCTAAGATAAATAAAAGCCTATCTTTCTCATTTTGTAGTTAATGAAAGGGTAAAGCAGGAGGAACAGGTGCCTCATGGAACTGTGCAATCTTGTCTTTTCCAGTGATTTGCTGCATCAGCAATAGTAGCAGAAAGAATTTCTTGTACACATACACAAACACATAAGTACATGCAATAAATACCCTTTTCCATTGGCAGGACACTTCAGAATATTAATTTGTCACACTTTTGGCTTGTCTGAATCATACCTCTTGGACACAACTATTCAAAAGAAGTTTATTTCTCAAGTTACTGTTACTATATAGAGTTTTAAGTTGGGTAGTCAAACCCTCCATTTTTCTATTCCCCAGTTTTTCCTTGAATCAGTCTTAGCAGGACATTGTGAGCAGAACACCTGGTTCTTTTAAGGCTGCTATGACAAAATATCAACATAAAATTTTATATACCTTTTCTTTTAGTGGCAATTACAGCTTTACAAATTTCCCCATTTTATAGTTATTTTTGGTTGTATTCCCAATTGCAGAATAGTATATATAGATCTTTTGTTTTTTGCTTAACTGATTTTTTGTAATTAATATTTTTCATTGAGGAATAATTTACATTAAATGAATTAATTGTACAGATATTAAAGCTACAATTCATATGTGTTTTGACAAATTATATGCCTGTGTAACCATCACTGTAGTCAATTTTGGTTTGTTAAAATAACCACACAATTTTTTATTAATTAATTTTTTTAAATTACTGAATTTTTTTTAAGATTTAAGATCTTCTTAGAAAAACCTATAATGGTTTTCTGTAACATGGAATTCTAGATCTATTATGAACTATTATGTATATACCTATGTTGATATTTCACGTAAGATATTTGAAAGTATATCGAAGTCTTTACTAACTTTATAAGAAACATGCAACTTCTTTTGTAGGTGATAGAATTACCTCTTACAAACCCAGAATTGTTCCAGCGTGTAGGAATAATACCTCCAAAAGGCTGTTTGTTATATGGACCACCAGGTTGGTATTGAATTATATCTGGCCCACTAAAAATTGAATGGATTAAGGAATAAAAGAATAAGATGGAAATTTACTGTAGGCAGTTCCAACCTCTGCTCTGTTCAGAGTGAGGAAGGGATAGTAGATGTGTCTACTGTTCTGTTAGGTATGCTTAGTCTTCTTGTGCCTCACAGGTTGTATATCTTAATGTGCCATGTGATTCTACTGCAATGGTCCTGTGTGGTTCACAGACCTCTGGGTGTCCCTGAGACACTTTCAGGGGGTCTTCAAGGTCAGAGCTTACTTTCATAATAATTGAGATGTTACTTGCCTTTTTCACTGTTGACATCTGTGCGAATGGTGCAAAAGGAATGTGGGTAGAACTATACAATGTGCCATAAATCGGTGAAGTCAGTGGCATAAAAGGGTACTAGCAGTTATTGTGTCCTTGATCACTCACATTTGCAGTTCAAAAGAAAAAAATGCCAGTGTTGCTTTAAAATGTCTTTGTGAAGGAGTAAAAATTATTTTGATTGGATCTTGATCCTTGAATAATATCTTGTATTCTGTATGATGAAATGAAAACTACATATACAGTACAGAGTAAAGTTAACCCTTGAACAACTGGGTTTTTGAACTGTGTGTGTCCACTTATATGTGGATTTTTTTCAATAAATAATGTTGGAAGATTTGTTTTTGTAGAAATTTGACAATTTGAAAGACTTCTCTAGCTTTACTGTAAGAACATAGTATATACAACATATACAAAATCTGTGTTAAATACTGTATGTTAGCTGTAAGGCTTCTCGTTAGCAGTAGGCTATTAGTTAGGTTTTGAGGGAGTCAAAAGTTATACACAGATACTTGACTGTGCAGGAGGTTGGCACCCTTAACCCCAGCATTGCTCAAGAGTCAGCTGTACTTCTGATGCATACTGAATAGGGAGGGTAGTTAGCTCTAGGAAAAGCACTTATGCAATTATTTGAGTTGCCAGCCCCAAATTAGCTGCTTTACACACAATACCATTTTTACTAGAAAGGATTATTAACAGTCCATTGTTATCAGACTAGTTATTGGCTATCTGACACACATTTTTTTCAGAAGTGAATGAAGTTAGCCTATCATGTTAAAGAAAACTGGTACCATCTATAGCTAGTGATAAAATTTGAGATTTCAAGCAAAAATTAAAGTTTTTGAAAACATCTGGCACTGTGAGCTTGACAGCTTTCTACTGTGTTAATTGTTAAAAGGCAATATAAGATTGGTGATGACATTAACAAGTGTGATTTTTAAAAAAATACTGTATAATGAAAAATGCCAACATGTGGAAGATTTGCATAATTCACTGGACCAATAGTTTATAGGTAACCAATATTTTGTTACTATAATATGCATAGGTAAAAGGTCCATTCAGTGTGCAGGGTAGACCAATGGATTTTAATGTAACAAGTGTCCATCGTAATCTATTTGTAAATAGGGTTTGATACATTTTTTTTTTTTTTTTTTTTTTTTTTT